TGCGTCCACTACATATCGACGAATCTAGAGGTTTGTGGGACTGTTTTGGGCAAAATTTCGATTTTTTGGCTCTGGAAATTTTTCAGATTTTGACCACGAACTCTGCTTAGATGAAAGTTTTTGCAAAACTCTGAATGTCATATTGTAGAGCTTGCTTTTCTCTATCCAATGATATACCAAGTCTGGTAGATTAATAAATAGACTTCGATTTATTTGGAAAAGGAGTTTACTTTTGGGACAACCTAATAGCTTAGTAAAATCCGCAAACATAACATTTTTAGAATCATTTCCACCTTCAACGTCCAGAACTGCTTCCAGCGAAAATGGGCCTTGCGATTTGAGAAAGTACTCGAAATTGTCTGTGCAGGACCTTAACTTGCTCCAGGTTGCTATTTTGTAACTTACTGCAATTTTGTAGCTTCGAATTTTGTAGGAACTCATCAAAGCGAATGAACCTCTCAAGGCCCCCTTAGACCTACACTTCAACGGCGAGTTGAGCTTGATGGATGTTGTCAAAATCAGCGAAGCTGCATTGAAAAGGATTGTTTGTATGGCAAGAGATCTGGCAGCTTTCCAAGGGTTGGACATAGAAGACAAAAAGAACCTTATGAAAGGTAGTTTTGATTCGAGAAATTTTTATTTTTTTGGCATCACCCGGTCATTTTAGGCAGCTGCAGCGAATTGCTAATCTTGCGAGGAGTCATGGCTTTCGATCCTAACAAAAACACTTGGAATCACAATTTTAGCACGGTTTGTCAAGTTCGTACAATTACACTTCATTTTTACCATCTGCACCCGTTCTGGAGATGCAGATTTTTTGTGAAAAAGTTTCCAAAAATTTATATACGTGGTGAGCAGAATCCTGAATCTGGGCAAGCGAAGAGCTCACAAGTAAAAGGTTGTATGAGAACCAGGATAGTCCCTATCTCAAAAAAGCAGAGTTCTATGTGAATTTCAGGGCATCAAAGGAATGGAGGTCAAATTGGACGTTCTCAAAAGCACAAAAGAAACGCAACACTACGAGGAACATAAACGGTATGGGCTTCCTCTAATTCTTGAGTAAAAATCCCCCTTACAGATTTCTCATTGGCTTCAATGAACAGATTCGGAGAAATGAGTGTGTTATGCTGTTGCTGATGGCTCTCGTCATCTTTCGTCCGGATAGAGCGAACCTTGTTGACAAAGTTAGAGTTCGAGCAATACAAAACACGTACTACGGGGTGCTGAGGAGGTACTTCACTAACTTATTTTTATTTTTTCAAGGCGAAGCAATATTTAGGGTGCTCGAGTGCGAATACGCGGCTAGTGAGGCTCTCATCGTCTATGAAATGCTTGTGAGGAAGCTGGAAGAGTTGAAGCACTTGAAGGAAGGACTAGTCAGGATTTACTACGGATTCGACAGTCGCCAATTAGATCCGCTCATCAAAGAGCTATTCGATATGATGTGATTCGGTCGGGAATCGGGGGTATTTCAAATAAATATTCCAAATAAGAAAAATAACTGGAAATGTATATTGAGAAAAACTTTAGGGGAAACATCTCTCCAGAGTCATCGATCCCTTGCTATAAAAACTTTTATCAGATATATTATATAAAAACCATGCATTTACGTATTGCGAAACGAGGGGGTCTTATTGATGTGTATCAAAATTTAGTCAGGCTATTGAAATAAGACTTTTTACAATGCTAGGATGGCCAACGTCAGTAAAATGAGATTTATGTATCAGATCATTCCGAATGTCTTCGCGCTAAACTCGCAGACATCGTTGGATAAGACAATTTTCACTAAACTCTTCTCAAATTTTTCAGAATGCTTCTTGCGAATTTTAATTTTTGGTGAGGGGAAGAAAATGACTCGATCAAATTCTCAA